GCAATCCACAAAGTTCACTGACCTCAACTATCTGAAGTTACATTTTAGGTCAAACGTGGAAAAAATGTAACTTACCTGTTGTGAGGATATGGGACAAACACAGTGAGGGTAAACTATGATAAACCATGATAAACCACGGTCCTCCTCTTCATCCATCTCCAGGGGCATATCACCTGCGTGTTCTGCATCTCCGCTCCTGAAACGCTTCTTGAGGAAATCGTGTCCAAATGCTCCCCACCATTCCTTCACATCATGGTGAATCTGCTCACACGTGAGTCCTTTGGAAATCCAGGAATGGAAGGTGACTGCATTGTCCAGACTCCGCTTTGCAATGAGGGTCAACTCTTCCTGGCTCACTGGCGTTTCTCGTCTCGACTGAAAGTCTTCCCACATCGCACACTTGGCGTACTGCTTTGCGTGAACCATGTGAGCACCGTAGATGCCATCCTTCATGGTGTTATCACCGTGCTGGTAGCTCTTCACTTGCCCGAAAAATTTCTCGATCAAGCTTTCCTCACGCGCTGATGGCATCCAGGGCTCTTGCTGAGGCCAATGCACAGATGCCAGAACAATGTGTCCAGCGAGATCCATCAGGGCCCGCAGATTTTGCGCTGGCAGCCAATGCTTTGACCAACCCTTCTTGTTCTCCTTCATCGTTTGCGAAGTCTGGATACAAAGAAGGTAATATGCCATGAGCGCATTTGACACTGCCTCTCTCAGGCTGAAGGCAGCGGACGCAGTCCATGCACTCGTGAGCAGCGAGCTCACAAATTGCGGCACAATGCATGACAATGAGCTCCAACAATCCTGAACATATGCGGCGTTCATGCGTCTTGCACCATCAACGTCTGACTGGGGGTCATCTCCAGAGAGTGCCCTCAAGGATAGTCCTCCATTCACTAATGGTGTCAGGCTCACAATGAACGCTCCCCAGCGGATCATTCTTGCACCACTGCAGAGATGGCTCCCAAATCGCTTCATAATGTGACGATTGTCATTGCAACCACTCAGGAAGTGCTCGCCATAAAACAAAGCCTGGTATGTCCACATCGGAATGTTTGGCAGTGGTTTCTTGGTGCACTGGCTGAAGAACGGCACATGCATCTGAGCCTTTGGAAGCAATCCAAGGAACAGTGCGTTCACACTCGTGTTGGAAGAGCCCCCGTCCCATGCGCCGCTGAGTGGCGGAAGATCAGAGTTGCACCAGGTTGACACTTTCCAAAGGAATCCATACTCCATCATGGTAATTTTGGCGCCTGCCATTGTCTCGGTCGAACCTTTGGGCTTGGGTTTTCTGGGGAGACAGTCAACTTGGTAGACGTGTCTGTTCGAGTCTGCCCTGCTAATGACATAGTGCACAGACATTTTTGCTAGCTTTTCTTGTGGCATGGAGTCCTCCTCAGCGGGTGAGGGAATGTAGGAAACGTCCTCGTCCGTGCTCTTGTACCCGCCAATGTAGCCCATTGCGGAATCTTGTCTGAGGCCACAAACAATTTCCCACTGAGGAAACCACACTGTCTCGTCCAGCACCACCACAAAATTCCTCGTTCCGAGAACATTCAGTGCCACCAATGCAGCGCGACAAGATTGCTGCAGATCATCGAAGCTCCTACTAGCAACCTTAGGCGCAGGATGACGCAGGCAGCTTTAAAAAATCAATAGTATTTATTAAAAAATATAGTATAGTATAGTATATTATGATAAAAATGTAACTTATGCAAGTGCAGGGGGTGAACCACACGTGTTTTTCCAA